CCGTCTGGCCCCCGCTCTCCCTCGGGCGTACTCGGCGGGCACAATGGTCTCCCTCCGCTCCGATGGCGGCGTTATTGTGCGCGGGCGCCCGAACGGGTGTGGGGAGGGGCGGGCCCGGTTCCCGCGGCGTCGCCCGCCCAGCCTGTGGCCCACCTCTGCAGGTGCGCCGGCCGAGATTCCTTTCTCCCCACCCGCCTGTGGGGGGAAATCCCCGCGGGGAAGGAGCGAGGCTGGGCCGGGGGCCGGGGTGTCCCGGCCTCCCCAGAAGGCTGGGAAGAGAAAACGCGAATCCTGCAAGCCCTTCTGGAACCTATTAGGCCGCCGAGGCCTTGAGCCTGAACAAATAACAGCGTTCTGATGCGGCTTCCTGCCAGGATGGGAGCATCCGTGGGCAACTGAGGGCCGCTTTAGACAGTTTTCCTGCCCTTACACAGACGACCCGACGTGGAGGGGGGGTTCCTTTCTGTGACAGAACCTCGTGGGCGCTGGTAACCTGCTGCAGCGCTGGGAGACTTAGGGGAAGAGGTCCAGAGCCGGCGAACTCGTTGAGGCCGTGGCGGCTGGAGGTTCTTTGTGTTGGTCTCCAGAGAAGGGGGGCTGGAGCCTGGTCTGCTCCTTGGGTGTGCTGCGTCGGGGGCTGGGACTCACGGGGGTCTTCCGAGTGTGGTCAGCCATGCAGCGTAGGAGTCCGTGACTAGCAGAGCATTTTCCTTAAAAGCTGCGTCCTCAGACCTGTATGACTGGGCTGCACTGCTGCCCGCTATGGCTCAGCGGTTACAAGGTCACATGCTGCCGCCTACCCTTGACCTGAGATCCCAGTTACAGAAACTGAGGCTCAGGGCCCAGGAGTTGTGCCCCAGTTAGATAAAGGCTCTACCCCACACCTGCCAAGGAGCCACTTGGTAGGATTCCTTGAACCCTGCTGGCTGGGACTTAACACCCCAGGGTGTCCCTTAGAGACACAGAAGCTAGGGTCAGGGCCCAAGTTCTGGGACCCCCTTCTCTGTGTTCTTTCTGTAGCAGCTCTTCCAAGGCTGGCTGTGGGTAGGAGGGTGTGGGGAACACCCCACTTCCTTCCTGGCTTCCCTCCTGAGCAAACTGCCTCCCCAGGCACACAGCAGCTGCTGGCTGTGTCACCTGCGGCATCAGGTGTGAGTAGGGAGGTTTGCAAACAAACCTCGTTTTGGCAAGAGCTCTGCACATTGGTGTGTTTGAATCATGAGACAGTCCATGAAATTCTTGCTTAACATCTTTGTGACTTAGAACTTCTGGGAGCTTCACCGACTCATGCCTTGTAGGTACTGTCCACCGAAAGTCAGGGGGTTGAGTAGTCATGTTGTAGACCTTAGGTGCTGTGTTGGGGCTCAGCAAGCCTGCCTGCCCTCTGGGGGACCTGGGAACTATAACGCCAGGATTAGTTGAGTGGACATGGCTGAGGTCACCACCCTAATGCCTGTCTTTCCCAACTCCCAAGTGAGGTCCTTCGGGACTGAAGACCGCCCCACAGACAGGCCTGCTCCCCCGAGAGAAGAGATTTACGAGTACATCATTTTCCGTGGAAGTGACATCAAGGACATCACTGTGTGTGAACCCCCAAAAGCTCAACACACGCTCCCTCAGGATCCCGCCATTGTCCAAGTAAGTGTGTCGCTGTCCTTCTTGGGCGCTGTCTAAGATACCAGCTTCCACAGGGAGCCTGGTGTCACCTGCTTGGCCAGAACATGCAACGTGAGGATGATCTCATGAAAGATGGCGGGATTTTCGTCTAATTCCTGCTGTTTCTGTGGAAGGTGTTGACTCATGATACACAGTAGGTGGTGTGTGCCCTGGGACTTGGCTCCGGGTAGGAGGCTCAAGTGCTTACCTCGTGTGTGTGCTTGTGAGTGTGCAGGGTATGGCGTCGTGTACTTTTGCTCTTGCTTGGCCTGGGGTACTTGGGCCACTGTACGTGCCCTTTGTTGCTGTAGCAGTTGTCTGAGCTGTTGGGGCCGGCTGGCCTGGCTGCCTGAACATGTCCAGGTGTGACATGCTGTGTTGTGGGCCCCGGACTGCAAGTCTGTGTCACCATCATGCCACCCACTTGCCTGCTAGGCTGTGGTGTATTTTGCACAGGCTCACCAGGGAGCCCAATTTAACATGTTCTTCGCTTGTAAATTTCAAGACTCCTTGGCTCCTCAGGGTTCAGACCACCCAGGCCCTGAGACTGAGCAAATACCCTGGAAGTAGAATCACGCAGGTTGGGCTGCGGGAGCACATGGAGGCGAGGCAAGCACCTGAACCACGCCTGAGGAATGAGGAGGAAGTAGCCAGAAAGGAGGCCAAAGGCCAGTCCCTAAACATGCAGGTGCTGCTGAAGGCTGTGGACAGGAGAGAAGGGGGATGTCTGGGGAAGGGTAGGTTGCTCCCCAGCCACGCCTTGCACCTCCTTAGTGGGTGAGGCAAGTGAGGGGGGCATTTCCTTCCTGCCATCTGATGGCAGTGGGGAACCTGCTGATAGATTTCAGAGATTTGGGGGAATTAGGCCAGTAGAGCTGGGAAGGAAGCTTTGCTGGGAGACGCTCACCTTTCATGGACTGACTCCACTGGCACCTCAGAATGTGGGGTGTCTGCCTTCTGTCTGAACAAGCGCCGGGAATGCAGAGGAGTAGCCTTGGGCTATGCTCACCGTGTGTTTCATTGTTCAGTCCTCCCTGGGCTCTGCCTCCGCCTCGCCTTTCCAGCCACACGTGCCTTACAGCCCCTTCCGAGGGATGCCGCCCTACGGCCCGCTGGCGGCCAGCTCCCTGCTCAGCCAGCAGTATGCCGCCTCCCTGGGTCTCGGTGAGTAACCTATTCTGTTTGGTGAACTACCCTGCTTGCACCTGCCAGTAAGCAGAGCTGTGGACCGAGGGTGGGGACGTGTTCAGCTTCAGCTTGTTAGAACATTTTGGTCACTATTTGCCTGAGAGTGAAAGAGGCAGTGGCAGTCTAGCTGGGCTCAGTGGCTCCTGCCTGCAATCCTAGCATTTTGGGAGGCCGAAGAGGGAAAATTGCTTGGGGCCTAGATGCTAGACCAGCCTGGCAAACATAGTGTGACCCTATCTCTACAAAAAATAAAAAATATTAGCCAGACATGGTGGTGAGTGCCCATAGTTGTAGCTACTCAGGAGGCTGAGGTGAGAGAATTGCTTGAACCCAGGAGTTCAAGGTCATAGTGAGCCATGGTTGCATGACTGCACTCTTGCCTCAGTGACAGTGAGACCCTGTTTCTTAAAAAAGAGAGGCCAGCAGTTTGAATTTTGGAGCGGATGAATCATAAAAATTCAAAAATTCTTTAGAAACATTGACAGGGGTCTAGGCAGGAGTCAGGGTACAGCTACTTCAAGAAGAAATAACATATAGAGAGAATTTTCCAGGCCAACTCTAACTATTTGCAGATTTATAAGCCTTTAAATACAACAACCATTTATCGCGTTTTATTTTACTGAAAGTGCTTTGCTTAAAAAATGATCTTAGCTAAGATTGGACACTCCTGGGTGAGATTCGCTCCCATGTGTAGAGTGTGCTCCCACCTCGGCCTTGACAGGGATGGAGCTCTGCATGTGCTCAGAGCATAGAGTTGGTGGGTGAGGTGGCCGAGGCAGTGAACATTGGTGAGGCCCTAGACAGGCCCTGCGGGTCGCTTCTCTTGCCAGTCCTGAGGGTCTTGATTGCCATCCCAGTGTGCCAGGCGGCCTCAGCCCAGCCCTGTTTCTCAACCATGTCCGTGTGGCAAATCCCGTGAGTGGGGCTGGGCTCCCCTAGGCTGGCTGGCCTGGAGCCTGGTGTACTGACTTACGCGTGTGCTTTCTTTTTGCTCTTTCTCCTTATCTCCCTTAGAGAAGCTGGTAAGCCCTCCAGCCTCAGCCGCTGCTTCCAGCCCTAGCTCTTCTCCATCTCCACAGCCCGTTTCAGAGCTTGACTTGTCCTCAGAGCCACAGCAGCTCACTGCCAAGGGTAACAGCAGTGTGGGAGAACTGCATGCTGTCTCACAACCCGTTCTGAGAGCGCGGGGTCAGCCAGAGGCAGGATGACAGTAGCTGTAGCAGATCGCGCGCCGAGCTGGGACCGCCTACACTGCTGCCTTGCTTCTGCTGTAGTCCCGGGGTCTGAACCCCTCAGTGTGAAGGAGGGCTTAGAGGGACGCCTCAGATCACTTATGCCTCTCCCTGGGCCAGGGTCTGCCAGGCCTTTACCGCAACTGCTATGTCCAGGAAACGTCACTGCTTGCAGAAAGCCGCCCCCCTGGGTTCTGCTGGGTTCTACATATGGGCTAGTTGGCTATGGCGGGACTCCCTGAAGCACTCCACACCTGTCTTCTTTGTGTGGTGCATAGGTCACTTTTTCAGGGCATTCGAGATTGAGGTTTGCTGGGGACGAGCGCCAGCCATTGGGCCCAGGGGTTGGTGCTGCTGGGCACCCCATCTCCCTGTGCTGGCAGCTCCCGTGGGACTTGTTTCCTTTCCTGATGCTCTCCTCATCGCCCTGAGGTTCTGCAGTTCATGCTGATAAGTTGGGCATGGGTTTTATACACAGTGACCTGTGCACTACCACAAGCAGAACCATCCTTGCTCCCAGCCCCAGTCCAAGAGGATGCTGTGCTCACCTAGGCACACATTGCTGTCAGCCGGCCATCTACATGTGCTGCTTTCTGAATCTTGTGTGGACTCTAGCGTATCTGAGTTAGAGAGCCATCATCTATTTTTCTACCAAAATAACTACACCTGGCTGGGTGCAGTGACCCAAGCACTTTGGGAGGCTGAGGCGAGAGGATTGCCTGAGCTCAGGGGTTCGAGACCAGCCTGGGCAACTTGGTGAGACCTTGTTTTTACAATATATTACAAAATAAGCCGAGCGAGGTAACACATACCTGTAGTTCAAGTTGCTTGGAAGGCTGAGGTGGAAGGATCACCTTAGCCCAATAGGTCGAGGCTGCAGTGGCCATGAGCATGCCACTGCACTCCAGCCTGGGCAACAGAATGAAACTCCAACTCAAAAAAAAAAAAATATGTGTTCCTTGCCCTGCTCATGGGGCAAGGCTGTTGGCTTATTTCTATAAAAGCAAATGAGCCCAAGGTCCTTGCCCCATCCAGTCACAATGTAAGCAGGAAGCATCAGAGCAGTGTGTCTCTCAGAGCAGTCATGCTGAGGTGACAGGTGTGACTGTGGTCCAGGCTCATTCATGTCAGAGACACTTGCACTTACCTGTACACAAGGCCATTCCCACCTGCCCTTGGAGGGCTTTTGTTGATCTGGTTACAAGGACTTCTTCCATGATTTTTCTAGTTTCTGTCCCTTACACAAAATGAGATGAGATACTTAGTCTTCATCCGTGTGGTGGCTGTTCCTCTAATATAATAGTTACCCCATGGTAAAGGCTCATTTTCTGTCTTACCTCTCTAACTCCAGTCAGTCTCTCCCAAATTGTCCTGTTTAGAGAGTCCCTACAGGTCCTGGACCTTGGGTGAGGAAGGGGGAACAGATAGGTCCTCCTGGCTCGCAGGGCCTGCCTTCTAGTGTTTGTCTCATGTATCAGGCCTGGGAGTACAGGGTTGGAGGCCCAGCCCTTAGAGGGGCTGCCTAGGAGCCCTTTCCTTCTTAACTTAGCTTAACTCTTGAGACAGACGAGGCTGTTACTGTCTTTCAAGCCAGCTCTTATAACTCCATCTTATTTGGTTGTATTATTCCTTAAGCAAAAACAAGTGTTCTCGAGTTTAACTTCAAAGTCTGACCGTTGTGTTTTCTGGATGATACTAGGCCAGGCCGGTTCTTCTCCAGCAGGGACACAAATGAAGCAGGTTCTGAGACCTTGAGTTCTCAGATCTGGGGACCCGAGCCCCCGAACTGGTGCTGGTGTGATTCTAGCACTGCTTCTGAGCCCCGGGAGGGGTCTGTTGTAGGCAAGGGCTTTTCTCCCTGTGCTTCCCCAACTCAGGAGTTCTGGGTGTGGCCCTCCAGCAGGTGCTGCCCAATGACTTGGCCTTCTTGCCTGGGCTGACCCCTGAGGGAGCAGCCTAGGTTGGGAGTGCTCTGCCGGGATCTAGGTACCTGATAGAGGGGTGCCCTCTAACTCCCCGACATGCCAGCCAGGGGAGCAATGGCTGGAGCTGTGAGGCTATCTTCCTTGCTCTGTTTAAGTCTTCCTCTTCTCCTCCCTCAGGAACTGGTTTTCCATCTGTCCCAGTCGGCAAGAGCCCCATGGTGGAGCAGGCTGTCCAGACCAGCTCTGTTGATAACCTGAATGCCAAAAAGCTGTTACCTGGCAAGGGCACCACGGGGACGCAGCTCAGCGGGCGCCAGGCCCAGCCCAGCAGCAAGACTGCCAGTGGTACTGACACTTCTTCCCCTGGAGTTACTCGGTGTTCTAAAAGTGTTGCGCTATTTCCTGAGCTACTTTTACAAATTTAAACCAATGCCACTCTCCCATCCTAACCCCACATGCTTTTGCAGGGTAGGCCCATGCAGCAGCTCTGTGGTGCCCTGGCTGCATGCCCGTGTGGTGGTGGCACCCTGCGTCCGTGGCTGGATTCTGGCTCTGTAGGTACTGGGCCTTACTCTTCCCTCTTGCGCTGCAGATGGAGTCCAGCCGGCAGCTGTGCAAACCCAAGGGCAGGTGAATGATGAGAATAGGAGACCTCAGAGGCGGCGCTCAGGTAACACCTACTGTTCCGGCATCTGGGAGCCTCATGTGCTCAGACCAGCTTCGCTGGGCCCGCCTCCAGGTGGTGGCTCTGGGGGCTGGGTGAGGTCCCTGATCAGGTGCACCAGTTTGGTGGCCTGATCCTCAGTGGCTGGGTTTGCTCTCCCAGGGAACAGGCGCACGAGGAACCGCTCCAGAGGGCAGAACCGACCCACGAGCGTCAAGGAGAACACGATCAAGTTCGAGGGCGACTTTGATTTTGAGAGTGCAAATGCCCAGTTCAACCGAGAGGAGCTTGACAAAGAGTTTAAGAAGAAACTGAACTTCAAAGGTCTGACTCATGTGACAACTATCTGACTGGAGTGACTGGGGGAGGCCAGGTGGGATGATGACCAGGTCTGAGGACCTAACGAGATAATACATCTGGTGGACGGAGATGTTGAGGCAGGGGTCGGGGGGACAGGATACAGAGTGCATGCCCAGGTGGAACGATCCCGAGCTGAGTTAGAAGTACTCTCCATGCAGCTCAGCAGGAAACACTTGGGTCAGCATCTTGGCCTGCAGTGGCAGCTGTGCAGACCTTGGGGAAGAACTGCATGGGGGAAGCGTATGTTTGCCTGTCCTGCACCTTAACATGTTCTGCTTTTCTTTGTAGATGATAAGGCTGAGAAAGGGGAGGAGAAGGACCCAACAGTGGTGTCCCAGAATGATGAAGTGCCCACTGAGGAAGACCTGCTGGGGCCCAACTGCTACTATGACAAGTCCAAGTCATTCTTTGATAACATCTCTTCTGAACTCAAGACAAGGTGAGGACCTGAATAAACTGGGGAAAAGGTGGTCAGTCCTGTAGCCTCAGTAGGACAGAACTGAGGTGCTCAGACCTGAAGACCTACCCTGGCACGTGAGGCCCCGCGGGTACCTGCCTAGAGCTGGTGGTCACTTGAGGGGTCTCCTGAGGTCAAGCCCATTTCCTCTTGACTCTGCTGACCTTTGCCCATGAAGACTGGCTGTTACCGCACTCTTCAGCAGATGCCACGTCCACGCTTAGTGCTGTTCCTGGCCTTGGCCCGCACACTGGTAGCCTGAGGACCTGTGGCTTGAGGCAGCTAGCTACAAACTCTCACCACGCCATTTCATGCCATTTCTTCATTTGTTTGAAGCCAGGGACCATGTCGTGTGTTTTGAAACTTTTTTTAGAGCAAGGTCTGGCTCTTTTGTTCATGAGAGTGCAGTGGTATGATCATAGCTCACTGCAGTCTTGAACTCCTAACCTCAGGTGATCCTCCCACCTCAGTCTCCCAATAGCTGGGATGGGAGATATGTGCCAAGATGTCCGGCTGATATTTAAATTTTTAATTTTCTTTGGAGATGGGGGTCTCCCTATGTTGCCTAGGCTGGTCTTGAATTCCTGGCCTCTGGCTGTCCTCCCACCTTGGCCTCCCACTGACCTTAACCTGTTTTTTTTTTAAGCACCTAACAGCCTGGGTTTTTTTTAAGCACCTTTAGGTGTGGCACTGTTTATAGCTGTAAAGGCTTTAGTTCTCTATTAAGTTGCTTTTTAGTACCTAACAGCTCAGGTATTGCCCCAGTGAACAACCTAGACAGTAAATGAAGTCTGCAGAGTCAGCATGGTATGGAACCTCAGACCATTTGTTTTGCTGATTGCCAGTCACACCACTGGGCACCAAGGACACAGCAAGAGACAGGCTGGGAGGTCCTCATCTCCCTGCACTCAGTTTCTGTCAGAGAGCAGTAAATGACATACAAGAGAATCATGTGTCAGAGAAGATGACACAGTAAGGGCTGTGGGACGGGGGTGGTGGGTGTAGCGGTGAACGGATGACCAAACCTACAGATGGGGCGAGCTGTGAATGGAGAGGGATGCTCTTTTGGATGGGTCTGTGGCTTCCATGTGCCTGGGCTGAGTCTAGGGAGCAGGATGGGTTCCTTTGGGGTTTTTCAGGTCATGGTAATGACTGGGTTTTGCTCTGAGCACTGCAGGAAGCCATCAGAGGCTTAGAGCTGAGGAGGGTGCGGCCTGATGCTTTCAGCAACCCTAGTGAGAGTGGCCCAAAAGTGGCAGGGGGCAAGGGGAAAAGCTGGCCGGCCCTCCTGACTGGCAGAGGTGCCATCTCTTGGGGATCGTACTCCGTCTAGCCTAGCTCCTCACCTCGGAGCGTTCATGAATAGCTCTGGTCTGGGCCTCCCTATAGTGCTCCCCTCTGCCCAGTAGGCAATGGAAGCTGTCCTCATGGCCAACTAGTGAGCCCTGCTCGCCTTTGAGGACAGCGGTGGGAGTTCCTGCTGACTAGCCCAGAAACAGGCCTGACCTCTGGTACTGCCCAGGTTCCCCCTTCCTCATAACGGCTCTGTAACTGTCCTGCACAAGCCTGGTTCAGAAACCTGAGAGCCAGTGCCTGCTGCAGTCAGATTCTGTCTGTGTTCAGTTCCAGGCGGACGACATGGGCTGAAGAGAGAAAGCTCAACACAGAGACCTTTGGGGTATCAGGGAGGTTTCTTCGTGGCCGCAGCTCCCGGGGCGGATTCCGAGGAGGCAGGGGCAATGGGACAACCCGGCGCAACCCAACTTCCCATAGAGCTGGGACTGGCAGGGTGTAGGGATGCAACCGAAGGTGAGTGCAGAGCCTTCTGGAAGGTCTGATGGGAGGGCGTTGGGGCAGGCATACCCACAGAGGTAGCCTCAGAAAGAATCAGGAGCTGGGACCAGGCTGGCTTGGTCTCCCTGGAAAAAGAGGCCTGAGGGTGTCAAGGTCAAACAGAGCCTTGACCCTCTGAGTCACCCCTGGGGTTCTTAGGAACAGAATGGTCCAGGCCCCATCCCAAGTAACCTCAGACCTGTGGGGACAGAGCCCAGGGCCCAGCATCCTCAAAGTGAGATTGCAAGTGGGGGAGGGGGGAGGCCGGGGCACGTGTGGGTGGGTGCTTGCTCCTGAGTGAGGTGAGCATGAGAGGGCTTGCTGCAAAGCCAATGACTCAGCCTAGCCCTGTGTCACAGGTCAGTCTGCGTTTTGAATAAGGTCCCAGGTGATTTGTGTGCATCTGAGGGTTTGAGCAGAGTGTCCCACATGGGTGACCTGGTGCTGACCCATCCCCCCAACCTGGTGGAACTTGGAGGGTCAGGCCTGCCACCAGCTGCCTCCTTGTCCCCATAGTGGGTTGTAATGGGAAAGTGGGAAGCAGCCGGAGTGGGTGGGGGAGGCTGTGTGGCTCCTGCACACGGGCAGCAGCTGCCAGCTCCTCCCAGGCAGCTGCTTAACTACTGTTATCTCTTGCAGGCTGAAGTGGCACAGAAGTGAAGCTGTGTGTGTAAGGACACAAGGACAACGCTGCACTTAGGGGAGAACGGGGGTCACTTTGTTTACGGAGTTGGGAGGATTCCCCATACTGCTACTTATGTTTTGGACTTAGCTGAACTTGGACATGGTCTGAGTTAGAACCACTTGTTTTTGGGAAGTATTCATGGGTAACCTCTTTGAGGTGTCTTGACGGATGTTTCATTTTTTTAGTTGAGCATAGCCTAATTCTAAGGTTTTGGTATTTTGCAAAAAAAAAAAAAAAGTTTCTATAGCAAAAGCTTAATTTTCAATTTGAGACTTTTTTTTAATGACAGCTTGGACTTTAAAAGTGGAACTAAAATCTCTTTTGGCAAACGTGGCAGCCAAGTGCATCTCTGTAACCCGGCTGGCCCCTGGTGCTGCTGGCCTGGCACCCCCCACGTCCAAAGGTGGGGTCTTGGGAGCCAGGCAGGGCCAGCACGGTGTGGTGTGGGGGCTGGTGGACTGAGGATAGGGGAAGGGGACTGTCCCACGGATCATGTTATAAGCGAACAGTCAACTCTCACACATACAGAGTGATGAAGAGGTTGAAGGCTGGCAGGAGAGGGTGGGCCAGAAGGACTAGGGAGTAGTTGGGGGGAGGGTCTCTGAGTGCTTGCTGCAGAGCTGGTGCACGTGGGGGGGCACCTTGGCCCTTTGTCCCTCTGTTCTGTCCCTGCCAGCCTCTGACCTGGGTCAGTGGGTCATTATTGGGAGTCTGGCCAAAAACCCTTTGGTGTCCTCATCCACTTGGAAAAGAGCCAGTCTTTTTTGCAAGGTCAATGACCAAGAGTATATTTCTCCTCCATTGTAAATAGTTCTGTTTTTCTTTTCAGGTGGGTGGAGGGAGGGTGGGGAACATAAACTTGTTGCATGAGTCAGTAGGTCAGAACTGTAGTGTCCGCATGCGTCCTTCTGAGCGACAGGGCATTGTGTTGAAATAAGCACCTTGGTAACTAGACCCCGTTATTAGCTCTAAAGGCTTTAGTTCTGTATTGATTAAGTTACTGTAAAAGCTTGAGTTTATTTTTTTAGGACTTAATGGCTAAGAATTAGAACATAGCAATGGGGCTGCTCTGTTGGGAGTCATGTAAATTGTACTTATAAATAAACATGCAAACCTTTAAAACTCTTTGCTGCGTGCATCACTGCCACATCCTGCTCAGGCCTGAACCACACTTGGGGTGGCAGGAGTTGGGAGACTTGGGTCCCATATGGTGCTGAAGCAATGGCACTAGCCGGCTGGCCTGAGAGGTGGGCACGGGCTCTCCCTGTAGGCTGCCCAGAAACCCACAGGTCAGCTCATTCCTCAGTAGCCCTTTCACCACCACCTTTGGCTCTTGAGTTCCCCCAGGAGTGGCCACCGTCCTGGGCACCATAGAGCCCACCCCAGGGCCATCCCGTGACCACAAGAACTTGACTTGTAGGTTGAAGGCACCTGTTTCACTGAATGGCTCACAGGTGGCTTTGGGAGGACTAGAAGGTACACCTTGTCAGCTACAGGGCTCTCCCCAGTGCCAGCTGTGGCTTGTCAGGTGCCTCGGCAGGAACAGGCAGCACAGTCCTTTTGGGGGGGTAACATGCTACAGACAGGTGGCCACAGCCCTAACCCAGTTGGAGGACTTGGGTCTATACAGGTATCAGCCTGCCATAGCATCCAGGTGCATGAGGTCAGCTTAACACTGATTGACCTTGTTGTTTTGCCAATTACACATTTTAGGTTTCAGGGAATTTATCTGGGTCCCTTTTTTCCTTTTTAGATGTTCTTTGCCCAAAACCGAAAAGCAGAGCTGGAGATTGAGGCAGGCAGCAGAGCAGCCCAAGTGGGAGGAGTGACCCAAGGACCCAGAAGACCATGACTGGAAACCTAAAGGGTGCCTTTTGAGCCAAAAGGTGGAAAGAGCAGGCAGAAGCCAGAACTAGTCAAGACAGAAGCAAATGCCAAGAAGTGAGGCTTTAAAAGCAGAAACGCAAAGCCAGCTTGGAACACAGCTGTTCTGCAGGTTGGCACAGTGCTGCTTGTGTCTATCCTTCAAGCCTTCATAGAGGGCTGGAATGAAGGTCTGAAAGCAAATGAAAAGCATTGTGTCTGTCACCCCCAACAGAAACTGGGATCTTCTATATGCCAGGCTCTTCTGCCACCCCCCCTCCCCACTGGGCTTCAGTCACTGGCTTGCTGGAACAGGAAAGCTCAGGTACCAGAAACAAGGGCAAGAAGCTCCACTCTAAGGAACCACCATGATTACACCTGAAGTGCATTCACTTAAAGAACAGGCTAAAAAACACAGAAGTTTATTGTAGGACTCGGGCAGTGAATCCATGGAATGGAAACGCCAACATATCTGAGACTCAACCATGATTTGAGTTAAAAACAGTTATAATCAAGGACAGGACATTTTATTCATCATGATGCTTTCTTTTGTTTCTTCTTTTCATTTTCTTCTTTTTCTTTTTCAATTTCAGCAACATATTTCTCAATTTCTTCTGGATTTAAAATCTACCAAAAAAAGTACACTGGTTAACACCCAAGCCAGGTGCCAGTGCCTCCCCCTCAGGTGAGGGAAGTTGGCAAAGCTAGCGGACACCTCCCTGGAAGGTGTCTCCTGGACCTAGGTGGGATCAGGCAGAACAGCAGCCCACCCTAGATTGCTGGCAGCCTCTGTGTGTCCAGAGGGTGCATGAGGACTACCTCAGACAGGAAGCTACATAGGGAGCCTTGGAAGGACCCTTTTCTAAAGTTGAAGCCACAGAAGGGCCCCCTGCCTCTCCTCCTCCTCTGGTACTGCCAGCCCTATCACAGAGAAGTTCCACAGATACAGACAGGCACACTTGGTGATTACCTTGAGGGGCTGATCTTGCCTCATGACAGCAAGTTCGATGTTTTTACCACCGGACTGAACCACCTTGAAGAGGGACAAGACAAGCGTGAGGCACCACACCCCTCAAGACCAAAGGAGCTCTCACATGCACATTTGGCAGGGCGTGTGCCCAAACCCAGCACCGTTTTGAGAGGAGGACCCAGCACAGTGTCTTGATCCTAAAGGCACTTCCACTTGCCAAGTCCATGTGGGACACCTGCGCACCCTCCAGCTTGGGACTCCTGCCCCCGGAATCTTCCCCTATGCATGCTGTGCTTGTGGGCCCTCCCCTCAACACAGTGGTGACTATCATAAAGTCTGAAGCCTGCCCTTTGGCCTGGCCCCACTACTATTCTGTCTCTTGGCCTGTACCTGCCAGCACTTTCAAGGTCTCGACAAAGCCTGGGCCCTCACAACTCCCAAACATCACTCGTTGTTAGTCCCTCATTGCAGAAGCAGCTCAGGCATCTGGAGGGCTGAGGGCTGAGGGCTGTGAGCAGAACAGACTCTGCAGCTGGAAGGCCAGGCTCACATGCACCTCTGGTTCTTAGGGAAGCCTCGACTGTCCCAGCTATACACAGGAGCAATCACACCTCTGCCGTTACTACTGTGAAGACCATAGCAATTACGACATGGTAATTGCCAGAGCTGAGCCTGGCCCTGCATTCTTGGTCATATCCTCAATACCTTCCTGTTGCCCGTCCCCAGTCACCACTACGTAGTTTTTTCACCATCTCGCCCAGATTTCAGATGCAGACTTGCCTCCAGAAGTGCCTTGATCACCAACTTAATGGTCAGGTCATCTGTTTCAATGGCTTCGTCAGTGTAGTTCTTCTCCAAGAATTCACGCACAGACTTGGCACCCCGGCCTATGGCATTGGCCTGAAATAAGATGCGTGTGTTCTCAGCTGGTACAGACCATGAGAACCCAGAGCCAGCCCAAGAATATGGCTGTCCCACACAGGCCGGTCAGCTGCTGCTCTACCCTGTGGCTTCCTTTTGCAAAAAGCTATTTGGAGTTGGTGCTGACTCTACCAAGAGCGGACTGGGCCTCTACTGCTGCACTTGTTCCTACACATTGCTGCCCTTTCACTTCCTCCCAAACTGCAGCGTTTATGACTTTTTGCTTCCTTACTAGAAGTCTCACAGGAGACACGGGCTGTGCAGGTACTGGGCTGGCTTCAATGCACCTGCTTGCTGGTACAGACCCTACAGCAGGAGCCCAGGCCTTCCAGTGGCCCTCAAGGTCTCTCTTTCTGGTAAGGATGCCCAAAGACTCACCTTCCAGGCATGGTATGTGCCCGAGGGGTCAGTCTGATAGAGTCTAGGGGTGCCATCAAAGTCAAAGCCCACGATGAGGGCAGAGATGCCAAACGGCCTGCGCCCATTGCTCTGTGTATACCGCTAGCAAGAAAAGAAGCAGTGCCATCACTGGTAAGAACATACATGTCACGAAATAACTATATCAAGGCATGAAAACATTTTAAATCAGTCTCCAGGCAACAAAACAATGAATGAGCCAGCGGCTCTCAAGGTCCCTCCTTCCTTTCTGCTTTTTTACCCCAGAAAGACTCGCCTAGGACCAGAGCTGCCTCCCAGGGCACCATTGAGACCCATGAATTTGGACTTCCCTGTGCCAGGCAATGAGAACAGAACAGCAGTACCAAAACTGCTCGGCTGGAGTGAGTCACACACATACAAAGACGAAGACTATGCCATGGAGCAAATGAGTTTTCGGATTTCCCTGAAGTGACACACAACCCACGTGAAACAATGTGGCAGGCCATGGTTTGTGATAGAGCAGCAACTGCTCCAGAACCAGAGGTAAACGCATGGCCAGGCAGGACCCACCTGTTTCAGACTGGCGATATAGCGGGTGATGTACTCCACGGTGACTGGGTCCTCCACCGTCAGCCGGTGGCTCTGGCACTCTACCCGGGCCCTGTTGATGACGATCCTCGCGTCAGCAGTGAGGCCTGTAATGAGACCAGGGATGCACAAATCACATGAGGGGGACAGCATTTTACCTCCAACAGATTCCAACATCAGTCCTCTGAAACTCAGCACCGAGATTTTTCTGAGTAACTGACAGTGGAACCAGCCAGCCTCAGGGACTTCTCTGAGGAAATTGGGTAAAGATGCTTCCCACCTATGGCAGGTTACAGAATCGAAAGTACCCTAAGCAGAAACACACTCAGTACCCCAGTAAACTCATGGGAGAGTAAAAAAATAAAAATAAACAAAAACAAAAAACATAGATTGAACCATCATCCTAAGCTGGGGACCACACATATGAAAGATCCTATGTCTATTATCATATTTAAACACAGTGAGTCCTCTCGGGAATCTTGTGTTATTAAGTCAATCCCTAACTTTGTTTATGTGAATTGGACCTTCCTAAATTGGATGTGCTGAGGGAAGAAATGAGCAAGACCAGAGTGGTGCTAAGAACACATCAAGGTACGGGCTGCATCCACAAATAAGCCCTTGCTGCTGCTGCTGCTGCTGCTGGGGACAGCAGGACGCACCCTGGTCCTACCCTCTCCATGTGGTGGGTGCAGAATGAGGAACTCTAGAATCTGGGCCTTTCTCTAGATTGTAGCCAATCAATACAGAGAAGTAACAGTGGAGGTAACACCACACAACAGTCAGAGTGCTTTCATTCATTCAGCCATTTCTGTTTTAGCCGCCTGGGGAGAGGCCACCAAAGAAACCATGGCCAGCCCCATTCTTAAAGTACAAGTTCACGTCTTTAAAGTTATTATTGTTTTTGTTTATCCAATTTACGTGGCTTATAACAGCCCATCCACCCAAGCTAATCTCCAAAGCTCTGTTCTTTGCTGAGATTTGAGAATGCGGCAGAGGCCCACTCATACCTGCAAAGGCCATGCAGACGTTGTCATCCAAAGCACAGATCTTCCGCACTGTTCTTTCATCCTGCAGTTTGGCCACTGACTTCTTCTCCACACCAAGAACAACAATGTCCTTTCCCCGAACACCAACCTTCAAGAAAGACCCACAAACCACAGAAAGTGATGTGAGGCTCTGTCACCAGGCACGGTGCCCTTGGAGTAGGTATGGACCTAGAGGTGCCCGAGAGGCAGCTCCCTGGAATATGTGCTCCTCCTCCACTGGGCTGACACTGTGTTGGCACCACACCCTGCAGACCAGGGCAGAGTCCATTCCTGGTAGCACTAGCACAGGTGTCATGACCCATACATCCCATCCTGTCGCTTTAAGATACTGACAGGTGGTTTTAGTTACAACACAGCTAATGAGCAACCACCAAATAATCAGTATGTTTCACTTCAATCTGATGAATCAAGAAATCCTATGCAAAGCCCTGAAGCCGAGGTTGAAGCCAGCTTTTCTGTGACTGTGGCATCATGAAAGGTCCACCTCACTCTTTCCTGCACTGTGGCATATTAACACAGCTGTGGGGAGGACAAGTGCACCAACCATTACCGCAGAGCCGCACATGGCTCATGCTGTAGAGGCTGAGGCCGCTGTTACTAAGCAGAGCACTCACAGTTAACCCCTAATCAAGCCACAAGTGGAAAACAAATGGGATCAACAACAGCGCCTTCTGGTTTACAGCAGGGTGGTGAGTTCGCCGCCGTGGTCGTTGACCTGAGCATTGGGGGATGCCCAGCATTGTGCCTGGTCTCTACTCCCGGATGCCAGAAGTGCCTCTGTAAGGTCTCAGGTAACTGACAAGGTCTCCACACACGGCGACAGCCCCAGGAGCACAGTGTCACCTGTGGCTGAGACGCACACGTCTAAAAGTGTGTTTCCATCTCCAGGGTGCTTTCTCCTGGATGGACTCAAGTGACCTCGCTACTGAGCCTGAGGGCCCAGAGAAGCTGGATAGGTTCAGCAAAGCCATAGCAGCCGAAGGGCCTTGGGGGTACCAACAGGGGCCGGGGGCACGCCGGCTCCTTCCACTGCTCTTTAAGCTGAGTTAGGTCACCTGGTAAGATTCTGGGCCTGAGTTTCAAAACAAAGATTCAGGGAAAGCAAACCTTTCGATGTTTACAGAACCATGCATGCTTCTTTCTTGCCTGCTCAAACCTCCAAAATGTCAGAAGTTTTAAATGAAAAACCATCATGCAATTTGGCCAGTTGAACCCACAGATGTCTTGAAGACGTCCCGAACGGAAGTTTCCAACCGTGTTAGGAAGGCACTGCACACGCATTCCGGCCCAGACGAGGGGTTCAGGCTCTGAGGAGACCTCGGGCGTGCGCACCCATCCAGCAGCGCAGGCGGCCATCAGCCCGGGCGACACGCTCTTTGTTTCCAAAGCGCACCCGGGCCCAGCTGACAGCGGCTCTCCTTGGGGAGCAGGAGTGTCTCCCCCACACACTGGTTTCGGAGTCACTGAAGGAGCACTCCCCCCAGAGAAAGCGGTCCGCTCACTGCGTCTGGAGTACAGCCCTCCGGGGCCCACCGCGGGATCCGCGCAAGATGGCGCCGCCAGGAGCTGCTCCGGCGAGGTGCGGGAGGCGGCGGCGGCGGGGCGTCCTGCACGCGCGCT